GCATAAAAACTCCCATTGCTTTACGTCACTGTCAACATGTGGTATAATCAGACCTTTTAATTTTTGCCAATCTGGTGGGAGATGGTTGCTCATTGAGGTTATATTTTGTCTCTCTCTGATTGCTAGTGATTAGAACATCTTACCATTTGAATTTCTTAAAAATTATTTTTTGTTGGGATATAATTGATATAAACATTGTATTAGTTTTAGGGGTACAGCTTAAAGATTTGATATATGTGTATATTTTTGTCTTTGTCTGATTTGCTTCACTTACCATAAGGTCCCAAAGTTTTATCCATGTTGTGGCAAATGGTTGACATTTTTAAAGATTGGTTTTTAGGGTTTTTCTTTTTTAAAGATTTAATTTTTAAGAAATCTCTATCCCAACATGGGGCTTGAACGTACAACCCTGAGATCAAGAGTCACTTGCTCCACTGACTGAATCAGCCAGGTGTTACAGTTTGTTTTTTTTTTTAAATCACTGAACTTTTCTGAACTGTTGCTACTAATCTTCAATTATTTTGTGCATTTGCTAAGTTTTTTTATTCAATGTTCCAAAGGTGGACCATGTTGCCCTACTGCTTTTTATTTATTATTATTATTGTTATTATTATTTTTTGGTGGTGGTATTTTTATATTTATTTTTTTATTTTTATTTTATTTCAAACCCAGTATAGTTAACATGGTGTCGTATTAGTTTCAGGTGTACAATATAGTGATTCAATAATTCCATACATTACTCAGTGCTCATCATGATAAATGTACTCTTAATTCCCTTCATCTATTTCACCCATTCCCCTTACCCACCTCCCCTCTGGTAACCATCTATTTGCTCTCTATAGCTGAGGGTTTGTTTTTTTGGTTTGTCTCTCTTTTTTTCTCTTTGTTCGTTTGTTTTGTTTTTTAAATTCCACAATGAGTGAAATCATATGGTATTTGTCTTTCTCTGACTTATTTCACTTAGCACTAAACTCTCTAGAACCATCCATGTTGTTGCAAATGACAAAATTTCATTCTTTTTTTATGGCTGAGTAATACTGCACTGTATGTAAACCACATCTTCTTATCCATATATCAGTGGATAAGAAGATGTGGATAGGAATTGGATAAGCAGATCACACTTGGGCTGCTTCCGTATTTTGGCTCCTGTATGTAATTCTGCAATAAACGTAGGGGTGTACATGTCCTTTCAAATTAGTTTTTTTGTATTCTTTGAGTAAATACCCAGAAGTAGAATTACTAGATCACATGATCATTCTATTTTTCATTCGTTACTCTTTTCCACAGTGGCTATACCAGTTTCCTTAGGGCTTTTTAAATCTCCTCCTCCTTCTCTCCCTTTCCCCATTTCGGATCCTTCCAGTCTTGCCTGCGGAATGTTGTTATTGATGCTCCTGTGACTGCCCCTCCTCCAGCTGGCCACTCCCAATGTCCCTTCATCTTCGGCCCCCATCTTCTTTCCCTGGGTTCCACTCACCCTGGCAGGCCACCCTTCTAGGAAGATTCCTTCAATTTTAACTTCTTTTTTTTTTTTTTTAAGGAAAATACCTAAATCTTTATTTAAAAAAAAATTTTTTTTAAAGATTTTATTTATTTATTTGACAGAGATCACAAGTAGGCAGAGAGGCAGGCAGAGAGAGGAGGAAGCAGGATCCCCGCTGAGCAGAGAGCCCGATGCGGGGCTCGATCCCAGGACCCGGAGATCATGACCTGAGCCGAAGGCAGCAGCTTAACCCACTGAGCCACCCAGGCGCCCCTATTTTTAAATTTTTTTTTAAAGATTTTATTTATTTGACACTGAGAGAGAGATCACAAGTAGATAGAGAGAGAGGGGGAAACAGGCTCCCCGCTGAGCAGAGAGCCCGATGTGGGGCTCGATTCCAGGACCCTGAGACCATGACCTGAGCCGAAGGCAGAGGCCCAACCCTCTGAGACACGAAGGCCCCCCCCTTAAATTCTGATTTTTAAATGGTTAGTATTTTCACCTGGTTCAAAATTCTTAAAGTATTGGGGCACCTGGGTGGCTCAGTGGGTTAAAGCCTCTGCCTTGTATTGGGGCACCTGGGTGGCTCAGTGGGTTAAAGCCTCTGCCTTCAACTCAGGTCATGATCCCAGGGTCCTGGGATTCAAGTCCCACATAGGGCTCTCTGCTTGGCAGGGAGCCTGCTCTCCTCCCCCACCCCCATGCCTGCCTCTCTGCCTACTTGTGATCCCTGTCTGTCAAATAAATAAAATAAAATCTTTTTTTTTTTAAAGATTTTTATTTATTTGACAGACAGAGATCACAAGTAGGCAGAGAGGCAGACGGAGAGAGAGACTGGAGGAAGCAGGCTCCCCGCTGAGCAGAGAGCCCGATGTGGGGCTCGATCCCAGAATCCTGGGATCATGACCTGAGCCGAAGGCAGAGGCCTTAACCCACTGAGCCACCCAGGCGCCCCTAAATAAAATCTTTAAAAAAAAATTCTTAAAGTATTAAAGAGTACAACTGATAAATCTCTCTCTTACTCACGGTCATCAGTTTCCTTACACACAGCCAGTATTAGCAATGTCTTCTCCATTTATGTAGAGATAACTTATACATGTACAGGCAAATAGTGTAGATCTCTCCCCCTTTTCTTAACTGAAACAGTAGGGCACTATTTACATGGGTTCTGACTTCAGGCTCAGTTATCTGCCTCCTCTTTTGGAGCAGGAATACTTAATTTGGTGGGTACCGTTCTCTACTTGGCTGCAGAGGTTCCTATACCTTTTTCAAGCTGAATCCAGCCTCTGGTTTCTCTGGCTTCCAGATTCTGGTGCACACATCAAGCTTTGCATGTCTCCTCAAAGCCCTTCTCATTAGTTTGAGGTAAAGAAGCAGCTACTTCTGCACCCCTCTGCCTAGTCTCCCAAAAATCCTCCCCTCAAATTCAGTGAGTCTACAATCTCTCAAGCCTTTCATATCACTGACCAGGCTGAAGGGTCTTGAGAAAGGGGCGAAGAATTGCATAACTGGTGACATAGTACTTCTTTGCAAATTTGCCACTTGGATGTCTGTCTCATAATTTACTTGTTGCTATCAGTTTGTCTTAGGATTTCACTCAAAAACTGCCGTTTAGGCGGTGCCTGGGTTGCTCAGTGGTTAGCGTCTGTGTTCAGCTCAGGTCATGATCCCCGAATCCCGGTTTTCAAGCCCCACATCGGGCTCCCTGCTCTATTAGCCTCCTTCTCCCTCTCCCTCTGCCTGTGTTCCCCCTGCTGTGCTCTCTCTGTCAAATAAATAAATACAATCTTTTTTAAAAATTGCAATTTAATATTCATTACAGTCAAATATGGTTAAATGCTTCAAGAGCTTATGTGTAGGGTATAAACAATTAAGTAATGGCACATCAAAAAGGAGAAAGATGGCTGTGTTTGAGGTGTTTGGGAGGCAAAGAGAGGCAGGGATCAGCACAAGAGACGAGAGGTGGAAATTGTGCATAGGCTGATATGAGGATAACATTGCTTTCCGCAAAGTGACAGGAACTTTTGGTGTTTTCTCTGTTACCCAGGAAGCAGCATGGGGGTGGAGAAGTATAAATAGGCTTTAGAGTAAGGGAGACCTCAAATCTCATAGTTGCCCTTTACCGATGGTATAATATCGGGCAAGTTGCTTAGCTTTTCTCAATCCACTTCCTCCTCTGAAAAAAGTTTTATAATACTTAATAGGATGGTTGTATAAATTCAGCGAAATAACATATGAAAATCATCTATCTCACTGCTTTACACAGAATGGATGGGAAAACAACTAAATAACTCTTTCCTTATGTTGTTTTTCTTGCTACCACCCGCACCTTTGGGATACCCACATTTCCTGTTCTTCCCTCCAGCATAGCTACCTAGAGTCACAGTACACATTTTACATATGTGCAGGATTTTTTACATCCACTTACGTCCTACTCCAGGCACAGCTAAAGGCCCTACAAAGAGGGAGCAGTTACTGCCTCCTGCTTCTACTATGAGATCCACTCAACAAGCAGTTATCGAGCACCTAAGTGTCCTAGTTACTGACCTAGGCCCTACTGGAGTACAGAGAGACAAAAGGGTCTTCAAGATACTTAAAGATGAGAAACTGCTTCTGGATAAATAGCTATCGGAGGAGTTCAGGCGGTGGAGGAAAGTGATGGGCAGAGAGCCTGTGTGAAGTGAGCACCTAGCGGAGGGTGGCAATATTTGCAGAAGGCAGGTCATTTAAGCTAAGTCCCGACACACGATAGAATTCACCATGCGGAGACTGGGGGAAGAGGATAAAGATATTAGAAGATATGTTGATCACAGAGCGTCTCTCAAAGCACCGTTCTGTCGATGCCTATACCTAACGGGAGGAAACTCCGTTTTACTTGCTCCTGAATCTTTAGCCATTAGGTACTGCATGCTGAAATGAACTGTAACTCTCGCGAATAAAACCGCCACAGTTGACAGCAGTGGGTAACTGCAGCAGCCGCAGAGCTGCAATTACTCTGAAACTGACTGGGGTAAAGAAGATTTACTTGGACGACAACTGGTGAAACATCGTAAACTCTGAGAAGCAGCAATTTCGATATCTGAGTTCACCCTGGTCAACCCCCACCTTGTGTTCTTTTTTTTTTTTTTTCTTTTGTGTGTGTGTGTGTGTTTTTTTTTGTTTTTTTTTGTTTGTTTTTTTTTTTTTTCTTTTTTGGCCGGGTACCTTGCAAAGCCAGAAGGCCCAATTAGCGTCGGAAGAAGGAGGGCAGGCAGCGGGGTGGGGGTGGGGGTGGGGGTGGGGGTGGGGGGGAGATCTCCGCTGCGGATCTACTCTGGCTCCTCCCGAGTCCTGCAAGGCACACATTCGCCACACTAAACATGGCGCTTTCGAGTGACCTTTCTTCGTTTTAGCTCTCTCTCAGCCTTTTAGCCACACTCAACATGGTCCTAACCGAAGGTTGTATTCCTGCGGAACCGTCTGGGGACAGTTCTCGCGAGGTTTGCCCGGGCCCCGACTGCTCCCGCCCTGCCTCGCGCGGCCGGCACTGCCACTGCCGCCGGCGCCGCTCCTCCTCCGTGTCAGTTGTTGGGCTGTAATGGCGACTGGGCTGCCGCTGCCGAAGTGACTCCCGGGCGGGGGAGCGGGGCCGGACCTGCGCCAGAGGGAACTGCAGAGAGCCGCAGCTCAGGGGGAGGCTTGCTGTGGGGGAGGGGAGGCAGCCTTTCCGCCTCTCCTTCCTTCTCTGCAGCCCGGCGGATCCCGGGAGCCGGTGCGAGGCGGGCACCCGGTGCGTCCCCGGAGCGGGGAGGCCAGGCCCGGCAGCCCTGGGGCCGGTCGGGGCGGCATCACTGCACCCTCCGCCAGGCCCCGCGGGATGCACCGTGGGAGCCGAGGGCGGAGGCGACACTCTCAGGTGAGCCGCGGGAGGACATGGTTGGGACCGCGGACGCTCGCTTTGCCTCTGCTGTCTCTGTCCGCGGTCCCGGGTCCCCGGTGGCGGCGAGAGAGGCGGGGTGGGGCGCCGGGAGCCCTGGCCCTGCCTGGCGTCCCCCTCGGGGAACCTCCCTAGGTCCTGAGCCTTTGCGGGGAGGGCCATCCTGAGACCTGGATTTCAGGTCCCACCGGTGTCTGCCGAAGACGGATTTCCTTCCTTGACCTGCCAGGGCTCTCCCCGCTCCCCGCCCCTCCTCTAGTCTGCGAAAGATTAAGGTACCTCTCGCCTTTGGTCTCCGGAGAAGTGCTCCTTCTTCACTTGCGGATCAGGCATATTTTAGGAAATTCCGGGCAACTGGCTCCAGTGGCAAGGATGACTGGTTTCTGTTCCTTTTTGGTGAGGATAAACATTCTCAAGTATAGGGCAAACTTTGGTCTGCGCCAGTCAAGCCGCTGCTCAATGTAGTCTACCGATTTATTCACAAATGATTTAGTGGGGGATTTAAAAAGCTTTACGCTTTGAACGTTGTCAGTATTTTCCTCGCCTTCTTTTTAAAATGTATTTACCAACATGGTACATAATATTTAGCTAATGTCACAAATACGGTTTGGAATTTCGCTGGATCTGTAGTTTTCAGATAGGAAGTTGCATATAGGTATACGATTTTAAATGTGGTTTTAGTGTAGCAGCAAATCTTCCATAAAGGAAAAGATCCTTCATAAAGGACAGGGGGTCAGGAGTAGCAGTCAGTATCCATGCACTCCACCTGATTGTTTTAATTGTTTTGTTTTGATGGTGATCCTTGTTTTGAATTTGGAAAAGTCGTTAATGGTTATGTTGCCATGTTAACGATGCCTCCTCCTGTCTTGTATTTGAAGGTTTTAAAGGAAAGGCTATCTTAGGCCAGCCTAGCAACAGCTTGAAACGATTTGTAAAAGCAATGGTAAAATCCTGAAAGCTGCTCTCCACTTTAAACATTTCTTAGTTTAAAATACTGTTTTTAAACAAGGCAGTGTGCTGCTAATAACATGAGATTGTGACTTTGGGGGAATGGTTGTTAGACCAATGGTAGAAGTTGCTTCAAACCCATGGATGTGTAATATGAATTAGTATTGGTGTGCAAACTTGATGAACTCCATTCAGTGTAATAAAGTAGATGTGAAGCACTAACGCCTCATTGCATTGAGTTTAAGATGCCTTGATCAGAAGATAAACATCAAGCTAAAATACCTTGTGTGTGTGGATAAATACATGTATCTCATTTTTTCATAGTAGCAGGACTTGTGTGTTTGCAATGATGGTGAGGTCTAATAACTAAACATAATAACTAAACATATGCGAGATAATTTCTCTAATTCTCTGAGACAGATTATTATGTAAGAGTGTTACTACTTAAACAGTCAACCTGTGGGGTAATCAATTTACGAATTACGAAGTTGTGAATTTTTTTTTAATGCTTTTGATTGCCAGTCTTTTGCCCATTTTTTATAACACTTCTGTTATATCATGGACAGAAGAAAGGAGGTGGAATCCCTGCCTAACCAATTTTACTTGTTAAATTGCTGTGTTATAGTGGCAGCAAAAAAGAAGCAACAGTTTAAAATAATTGACATCATTTTTTGGTGTATCACCACATACGGTGTTTTATTCAGTCTTTATAGCAGTGCGAGGGAGGTTTGGCAAATATTTTTGTTTTGCAGTTGTGGAAATTGACATGCAAGGAAGTTCATTTATATGAATGATGCTCTTATTTCTGCAGATCTAGAATTGTTTATTTTTATTGAGGTATAATTGACACATTAGTGTTTGGTGTTGTACAGTGTAATGGTTCTGTGTATATGTATTGTGAAATGATCACCACAATTCTAGTTAACATTGTAGAATTAGTTTTATTTTTAAGTTGAATATTAATATAGATAGTTCTGGACCATGGATTTTTAAAATCTAAAAAAAAAAATTCTATTTTTGCTCCTTTTGACATGCCACTAACTCCTTTATGCTGATGATTGTTGTTCTTTAAAAACAATACTTCCAATAATTTTTGTTAATTATGAGCAAGTCATGAATTACTATAGTGGATGGCTTTACGGCTATATGTACTTTTTGCTTGAACGGTGTTCTTAAGAAATTGTGGTTCATCTGTCGTCTCTCATTTTGTTTGGATACTCTTAGTTCTGTCATTTTTGGTAATTAAAATCATTTATACTCTTGGTTATGAAAAACCAGTATTTGGTCCACATGGTAGCATAACTGAAGAGTAGTAGCATCTTGGTGATTTTATTGTAGAACTGATGATTTAAAAAGTTAACTTGCCATCTACACTTGTGATTGCTCTTTTTTGCAGCATGGGACAAGTTGTGAAATAATTTTCTTTATTGACATTTTCTTTCTATCTCAGTTTCTAGTGTCACAGATAGTCCAAAAACACAATCAAAAGATTGAATAGCATTTTTTTCTCTGCCCTAATAGTTTTTTGTTTATTATTATCACAGGTATAACTTTACATTTACTAGTGATTATTTTGTTTGGTTATTTGCCTTCCCCATTTAGTCTGTAAGTTCCACGATGGCAGAGATCCTCTGTTAACTATTGTGTGCCCAGTGGCTAGCATATAGCAAACTAATCAGTAAGTATTAGTTGAATAAATTGACTAAAGAGTGGTCTTGGCATAGTGTTTAGAAAACAAAACAAAACACTGGTTCATGTTCCTAGGCACACATCAACTCTTATTAAGCATGTACTCCAGAGGTATGTTCCAGTTGGCTAGGTAGCAGGGAATGAAAGCCTGCGATTAAAAAGCCACAGGTGGATCCTGAAAACTTTATTGGATATTTTAATGATTTGCCTAGGTGTTCTGGCAATAGTTACTATAATTTAAAGAAAATAGAAGGTTTAAGACCCTGACCTAATTAGTACTATAATTATAGGCTCTTAATAACTTTAAGTCACTTCTTAATTACAGCATTGGGAGTTTTAAGTCTTAAAGGCCAGCTAGTCCAATTCCCATGTTTTACACATAAGTGAACAGTATCATATAGGGGAAATATCTCACCCAAAGTGGTTTCATAACTGGATGAAGAATTCACTGTAGAAGACTGCTAAGTCTCCGCTTGTTTAATGTCAGGTTATAATGATCAAATTATAATGATCAGTTATAATGATCAAATCAGACCATGATTGTGACCAACTGGGCAATCTATTCATTCTACATCAGAGTGAAAACTCAAAGTAGACCTCTCCATGAATCAAAAATATTAACTTAAAAATGAACCTCAACCCTCCCCTGTGTCACTGGGACTATAAATTGGTACAGCTAGGACAATATTCTGGAAGAAAATTTGGTGTTACTTATCAGAATTAAAAGGGCACACATTTCATCATTTCGTTTTTGGGAGTTTATCTTAAAGAAATTTTAACACAAAGAACAAGAGCAAATCTATAAGAATGTTCATTTTAACATTATTATAAGTGAATGCCAGTAGAATTTGTAAATAAAAAGTGTTCTAAATGTCCCATCTGGTAGGGGAATAGCTGAAATTATAGTATATTTATGCTGTGAAGTACTATGCATTTATTAACAGGTTGAGGGGTAGCTCTCTTCATGAGAAGCAGCTGACCGTCTCATTGAGTGCAGGGACCATGCAACTGAGTTTCTGGGTTCAGATCCCAGTTGTATCACTTATTAGATGCAGCCATTAGCAAATTACTTAAACTCATCTATAAAGTGGATATAATTACAGTTCTCACCCGACAGGACTGTTGTGAGAATTAAATGAGTTGCTATTTCAGCTGTAAGTAAGCATAGTAAGCACCAATACATGTTTAAGTGTTTGCAATTAATATTAGGTATTGACATAGAAGAATATTCATGATAAAATATTGAGTGAGAAAAATAATTGCATAACACTGTGGAATATGATTCGGTTTTGAAATAAACACATGGGCAAAGAAATTTAGTTTGATTTTATTGCAACTTTTTGTGTGCATAGAAAGAGTCTGTAAGGATAGATGTTTAACAATTAGCTGTGTTATCCCTGTAGGAGTGGATGATTTTCCTTTTTTTACTTTAGACACTTTTGTTTATTAAAAGTCCCACTTTTATAATTTTTGAAACATCTTTTTCTAAAAAAGAAAACACTTTAACAGTTTCTTCTATTATATAGTCATATAAATACATTTTCGAATTTACTTGTTTTTCAGAGATCTGTAGATTTCATCAATATGATACCACAGTGAGATTCTCTTTCAAAATCTTTTGTTGACGGAAGGTTAAACTTAAAACTGTTTATTTCCTACTAGCTCTGTGATCTTAAGTGTCATTTCTTCATTTACAAAGTAACTACATAGGCTAGATCAGTGTTCCTTGAACCCAGCATTCCCAGGCTGGGCCATGAGGTGCCTTGGAGCACTGTAGTGAACTCACACAGGTACTGTGGAATATTTAAAAATTTTCGAGGGAGACACAGTAATATTTGACAGCTGTGGGATATCTGTGTGATATTTGACATCTGTGGGACACTACTCAAACTATTAGTTTGAGGCAGTGACTGTGAGATCGTGCTACGTTTCTTCAGATGACAGGATGTCTTCAAAAAGCTGCGTTTGGGGGGCTGCTGTGATAAAAAGCAAGTACTGTGCAAAAGTCAGTGTGAATGGAAATGAAAGTTGGCAGTGGCTAAAGTGATTTCAAGGTTTGGGAAGCTGTGTAATGTATAGCTGGTGCACACATCCCATTAATAAGTCATTGTGGTTATATAGTAATAAAACATCCCTTTCAATTTATATGTATTTTTCAAACTGTTACTAAGTTGTTAGAACACAAAGCCTTATTTGATTGTATGGATCTAATAAATGGAACTGCTATCTATTTTTTTGGTGCTTGGGGGCACCATGAGAAACTTACTGAGACACTGGGAGCTCTGTGAACTGAAAAGGCGCGGGAACCTCTCCAACTCTTTTGACTAGGACCCTCACAGTAA